CGCAACCAACCCCCCAGTCAGCCTGATTTTTATCGATTTTTTTGTCCAATATCTAATTTTCCAGCTTATCTAGTTGACCTAAGTTTTCTAGCTAATTTAGATAATTCGGCCTTTTGGTACCATATGCTACCCTTAATTAGTGTGAGGGTCAATACAATTAGTAATCAAGACATGCCAATTCTTTTAATGGCATATGGTCCTTTTTGGGGAACACAAAGAGTGAAAATGATTCGAAAATACCTAGCTTCAAAAGGGTTTAAAATAGCTAAATATAGTTAAAAATCGCTTGAAAATGACCTCAAATAGCGTAAAACATCAAAAATGAGGATCAAATACTCTAAAGCTCATAACTTTTTTTAAATTGAATATTTTTGAATTATTTAAATTGGAAAATGTAGGTTTTGAGAAGTTCTTCAAAATGATATATTATTTGAATCATTTCTCAATTTCGAAAAGAGCTGAAAATCGCTTGAAATTGGGGAAAAATAGCTCAAATAAGGATTAAGTCTTTCAAAGCTCATAACTTGTTTCAAATCTAACATTTTTAAATGATTTAAATTGAAAACTGTAGATCTTGAAAAGCTCTACAAAATTATATTAAATTGAGTAACTGGCCGGAATTGAAAACAGCTCAAAATCGGCATAAATTAGCCACGAAATGCCAGTTTCGTTTTTTTTCCGTTTTTCGGTTCGCAATATGAAGTTTACATGTCCCATATCTCCCGGAATCTCATTTTTATCATAATGTAACTTGTGTGATTGTGTAGCCCTTTTTAAATCCTACATTTTCGATTTTAAATGATTCGAAAATGTTGATTTAGAAGAAAGTTACAAGCTGAATTGTGGTACCTCTCCACCTTGCAGCTTGTACCCCCCCCCCCCTCGGGTTCCCTGGCTCCTATTTTCCCTATTTTCTAGAAAATATAATATTATTTTATATTAATTTGTAGCTCTTTTTAAATCCTACATTTTCCATTTTAGATCATTTAAAAATGTCAATTTTGAAAAAAGTTATGAGCCAAATTGTAGCGCCTCTCACACTTTGCCTTGTAACTCGCTTCAAAATCAACATTTTCAAACAAATCAAATGAGTTACATGTTTCGCATTTAATATTACTTTGTAGATAATTTTAAATTCTACATTTTCCAATTTAGATCATTCGAAAATGTCAATTTTGAAAAAAGTTATGAGCTAAAATAAGCTCTCATCCCACTTTTCCTTCTAACCCGCTTCAAAAACCACTTTTTCAAATCTAACAAAAATATATAATGTATTGAATTTAATATCATTTTGTAGAGAATTTCAAACGCTACATTATACAATTTGAATCATTCAAAAACGTCAAGTTCCAAGAGAGTTGTAGATTCTAGAAGTTTCCAGCTGCTGATGTTTCTTGTTGTCTATAATTTTCAGTGTCCTTTCTGTAAAAGTGAAAGTTTCTCCTCTCCATTCAATCATCACATGTCTGTCATTTATACTTATTTTGCTCTTTTTGAAGGACACACTATTTCTCTGCGCCTCTCTCTCTCTCTCTCTCTCTCTCCTCTATAATTTCATTTCATATCTCTATCAAAACAACTTTTTTCTCTTTCTTTTTTTTCCATTTTCCTGTCAATTTAATACATAAAATGTTATATAAAACGCACTTTGATCAGACTCCGAAAATTAGGCCCCGCCCTCTTTAGGCTCCGCCCATTTTCCCAGTAGACTATAAAATATGCTACAAAGCTCTAGATGCTCTGAATTCTCTCAATCGAAACTTTTGGCTTCCTAGAACCTAGTTTAAAGTTATTAGAATTGTATTTCAAGAAATTTAAGCTCCGCCCACTTTTAGAAATAGGCTCCGCCCTCTTTTAGAAATAGGCTCCGCCCTCTTTTGAAGTTTCTCACTGTTCTGGACTTCTTTTTCTTCAATGTCGCTCATTTTTTCTTCGGTTTCTCTTGAATATTCTATATTTTTGTACACTTAGGACGCCTCTATTGAAGCCTCTAAATCCGCCCCCAACAAAAAAAAAACAGACCACGCCCACTTTAGGCTCCGCCCACCCTATCCTTTCCTTCCCGACTCGTTTCGCTTCATTTTTGCATCATTGTCGCTCGTTCTCCTCCGTTTTTCGTCGAACCTACTGGATTTTTGACATTTAGGACACTTCTACTGAATCCTCAAAATCACAAAAAAATAAGCTTCGCACACCTAAGCCACGCCCACCACACCACAACACACAATGATGGCCGATGACGATGACCACCATCCGAATGATCTCTCAAATGAGACGCTATCCACTCTGGTCGGAGGGTCCGGACGACTTTCGGCCCATGATTTTTCAAATGGGCACCGCCCATTTCCAAACCGTCGCCGCCTAGTCTCCGCCCCCACTAATCCCAGATGGTCGCCACCGTCGGCCGACGACCAGCGGCTCTATCAATACGTTTCATCGATTCGAAGCGATGGTGATAGTGATAGCAAATCACCATCACCACCATCAGCGAAAATGCCCAAGAGACGATTGCAGGTTGGAGAGATTGGGCGCGAAATTTGAATTTTTTTGAAAAAAAATTTTTTGAAAACTTTCCGAAATTGATCTGAAACAGTCTGAAAATACACAAAGTACCATATTCTGTCAGAATTGAAAAATTTCAAAAAAAAAATTTAATAAAAAAATTTTTTTGTCTGAAATTCTGAAATTTTCAGCCACGTGGATCACCACCGGACAATGACAAAATTCAGCGATTTGGCGAGAGTCCGATTCCAGGCGGTGGCATGAATATGTTTGGACATGATGTGGGTTTTTTTTTGCAATTTTGGGATTACTGTAGCGGGAATTTTGGAAAATCTGAAAATTTTAGGATTACTGTACAACTAACCGTTTGTTTTATTCGCTGTATCTATGTTTCATTTTTCCTGTTTTGAAGCTATTCAAGGGGTTACGGTAGATTTTGGCAAAAAATAAGTGTCGATAAATTTCTTAATTTCTGAATTTCGCAATTTCCGAATTTCCGAATTTCTGGATTTTGAATTTCTGAATTTTTGAATTTCCGAATTTCCGAATTTCTTGATTTCTGAATTTCTGAATTTTTGAATTTTTGAATTTCTGAATTTCTGAATTTCTGAATTTCTGAATTTCTGAATTTCTGAATTTTTGAATTTCTGAATTTTTGAATTTCTGAATTTCTGAATTTCTGAATTTTTGAATTTCTGAATTTCTGAATTTTTGAATTTCCGAATTTTTGAATTTCCGAATTTCTGAATTTCTGAATTTTTCTGAATTTCTGAATTTTTGAATTTCTGAATTTCTGAATTTCTGAATTTCTGAATTTCTGAATTTCTGAATTTTTGAATTTCTGAATTTTCGAATTTCCGAATTTTCGAATTTTTGGATTTCAGTATTTTTGGACATATTTAGGCTCAAAAATTCAAAAAAAATGTGCATGATTTTTTTGCTGCTTCCTCTACCGTAATCCCCTACATACTAACCCTCTAAAGCCCACCTACCGTATACCTACCAACCTACCGTACTACTTGCCGTTTCTTCCAGCTCGACGACCTAATAATGGACGAGCTGATGACGATGGACGAGGAGGAGCAACAGCACGGCCGCGGTGGCTCTTCCCGACCGGTTAGTATCTTACTGTAGGGTACTGTAGATGACATCTACAGTATTCCCCAAATCTAACATTCACACACCTTTTTTGTCCTTTGCTTTTTGATAACTTTTTTTTTGAAACTTTTTTTTTCGGAATTCTAAGAAAACTATCCTTTTGTGTGACCATTTTTTGTAGTATCTCTAACCCAAAAAAGCCCAAAAATTAAAAAAAAAATTTTTTTTTTTTCAAATTAAAATAATTTTTTTGGCTGAAACTCCAGAATTCTGAAATTTCAGATGACCATTGGTGGAGGTCCAAAATCCATGTCCATGGCTCGCCCGATTCCAGGAGCTAGCGATCGCTCGCAAAATGTGCACACCAGTAGTCCGATACCGTGTCCAGGAGGCCTATCTCAGAATTATAGACAGGTAAGTGAATTAGGCCCCGCCCACTTTTAGGGGGGGGGGGCGGAGTTTAATAGTTTCGCACGCTTTCAGAAGCGTTTGGGAGCAATTTTGGAGATTTTTCAATTTTCTGAAAATTTCAAAAAAAAAAGCTTTTTTCGAATTTTTTTCTATTTTGATCGATTTCTATTTTCATTTTCTCTAAGTCTCTTATCTTTTATCTCTAAAAAAAATGAAATTGAAAGTGTCATGCGCCTTTAAATTGATACATATCAACCGGTTTTTTGTGTCCAATTTCGAACGAAACAAAAAAGATTCTTATCTAAAAAAAAATGTTTTTTGAAATTTTTTTTCTTTTTTTCAATTTTCTGAAAATCAATATTTTCAGATCGTTTCAAGTTCCGCGCCAACCGGCTCAATCGATATCGAGAAAATGTTGGGCGGAGTTCAGAATGGCGGAGGGGGCGGAGCGTCCGGTGGAGGCTCGGGCGGCGGAAGCAATGGAGATCCGGATGACTATTACAGGGACCGTAGGAAGAAGGATATTCATAATATGAGTGAGTTTTTATTCTTTTTGCTTAAGCGCGAAATTTGAAAATTTCGAAAATTAAAAAAATTTTAGATTTTTTTTTTTTTGAAAAAAACTTTTGCGCTCTTAAAACTTTTCAAATTCATACATTGTTCAGTCGAACGCCGCCGACGGTACAACATCAACGACCGAATCAAGGAGTTGGGACAAATGCTGCCAAAAAACACATCTGAGTAAGTCATGGTGGCCTAGCTTTCAGCCGCTCTTGGCCTAGAAATCCAGAAAGTCAATTTTCTGGCTTTCCCGCTGATTTTAGATAGAAATGAACATCAAAATCGGATTCCTTGCTAAAAACTGTTTTAGAAAACATGGTCCCTTGCCAAAAATCTCGCGTGGCCTAACTTTCCAACTGGTGGCCTAGAAAATCCAAGAACTCGGCCACCATGAAAAATCTTGTTTTTTCTTGCTTTCGGGGGTAGATTTTCACAAGTGATTTGAATTTTTTGATTCTCGAAGTGTGAATTTTGAAGTTTCATGTCGAAAATACACCTAAATAAAGAATGGTGGTCTAGCTTTCAACCTATTGTGTCCTAGAAATCCAGAAAGTCAATTTTCTGGCTTTCCCGCTGATTTTAGATAGAAATAAACATCAAAATCGGATTTCTTGCTAAAAACTGCTTTAGAAAACATGGTCTCTTGCCGAAAATCTCGCGTGGCCTAACTTTCCAACTGGTGGCCTAGAAATCCAAATTCTTAGAAAAAATTAATTTTCTGGTCTTTCTGATGTAACTAGATTGAAATAAGTATTAAATTCAGTCTTCCCGTTTGAAACTTCCCTAGAAAATTTGGTCCCAAGCCAAAAATCTCGCGTGGCCTAACTTTCCATTTTGTGGCCTAGAAAATCCGAAAACTCGGCCACCATCAAACATTTCGTTTTTTCTTGCTTTCCGATGTGCATTTTTATGAGGAATAATTTTCAAGTCTTATATAATAAAAATGAGGATTTCGTGTAGAAAAGTTCCCATAGTTGGCCTAGAAATCCACATTTTCAATAAAAAAGTAGTTTTTTGTATTTTCTGATTTTCCTGATGATTCTAGGTGAAAATAAACATTAAAATCGGATTTCTGATCACAAATCACCCTAGAAAACTTCGTCACAGGTCAAAAATCTCGTATGGCCTAACTTTTGCCAATGGTGGCCTAGAAAATCCAAAAACTCGGCCACCATCAAAATTTTTGATTTTTGTTGGTTTCCGGGTTAGAATTTTGCGCTGAATCCGAATTTGACATCTATTTTCAATTAAATCTCAATCTAAACCCTGAAAATCCCGAATTTTCCAGAGAAATGAAGCTGAACAAAGGAACGATTCTCAAAGCCTCGTGCGACTATATTCGAGTTCTTCAAAAAGACAGAGAACACGCTCTCAAGCATCAACAGCACCAGAAAAATCTCGAGGCGGCCGCCCAAAAGTACGCGGACCGTGTCAAAGAGCTCGAGGACATGCTGGCACGTCAGGGCGTTCAGGTGCCACCAAATCATCTGCCACCGATTCCAAAATTTATCGATAGACCAATTAAGCAGGAGCTGGATGACACCTCGCCACCAAATCACACACCAACCGGATCATTCATCGTGAGTTTTCCTGAAAATTACGCTGAAAATGAGCAGACATAGGCTGAAATAGACCTTACTTGCGTAGATGGCCTAGAAACCCAAATCAGGCGAAACCTAGTCCCCGAAAAACTTGAATTTGATAAAAACAATTTTTAATTCATTATTTGACTCTTGAAAATTCCAGAAAATTTGGCTGAAAATGAGCCACAATGAGACTAGCTATCCTCAAATTAGACAATTTCTCCTTGGTGGCCTAGAAACCCAAATTATGAAAAAAACTTAGGCCACAGCTACTCA